AATTATATATTAAAAGTGCGTATGGATAAAATAGTATCAGTAAATAATTAAATAACAAAATCAATCTATGTGTAAAATACGCTTGGCTATCTCTGTCCATATATTATAATACACGCACATGTTTCTATCTATGAATAATATATTAATGTCAAGCTGATGTATATCTATTCTGTTTCTGTGATTCGTTTTCTATTAACAGATACGCATCTCATACTTTCAGGTCAGGCTGATTTTTTTTTTTTATTAACTTACTTATTATTATTATACTCATATAATATACAAAGTATATATACATTATATATCTATACATAATATTGGGTATATACCGGTATTATACTTACAATATTCCAAGGGCGGAACCGTTTGAGAACTACTATATTATTATAATAGGTATGTGTGTGTGTAATCATCACCGTGGCACGTTTGCAATTTTTTTTTWRGRAWWWTYCSRWTTTTTTGTGGTCCCAATGTCTAAATCTTTGTGTAAACAAAGTTTGTGTCTAAGTCAAACGCCGTTTTTTAATCTATCGATTTTCCCTTTGGTTCGCGCAGATTATAGACATGGCTTCGATGCAACAACGGATGAAGGAACTCAACTGCGTGGACGTGACACCGCCAGATTCGCCGGTGACCGACGACCACATAAAGTCCAAACGGTTCTTGGCCAAACCCGAGTCGCTGGACTCGCTGGCATATTCCGATTCAGAATTGTCGTGGAGAAATGAGTACACGGACGCAAACAGCAACAACACYAAGGTATGTGGATAACGCGCTATCGATTAATAATTTATTATTCCGCAACGTATATTTTAAATTAATATACACGTAGTACCTACTGTCGATCGTATTATTGTATATTGACACGTCGGTTTGCATAATTATAGCCACTGTTGGATTTCATGGCTTTTGGCGGAAGTAAYGACTTTTCATCTCCCAACGGCAGCCAAGACAGCCGCACGTACAAAAACAAATGTAAAATCCRAATACGTTAATAATATGATTTAAAACTTTGGGCTAGCTTCAATAATGTTTACGTTTTTTTTTTCTGTACTCCTGTAGACAACGACAGCGTGGATTCGGTTTCGAGCGYAGTGCAAGACAGCGATCAAGAACTAGCCACCAAATCAAAGTAAATAATAATACAACTATTACGTCTCGGTATTTTTAATAGACTACATCAGAAGTGGCCAACATTAATACGTCCACGAGTCACATGGATAAATACAATGACATCAAGAGCAATTTTTTTACAATTTTTATAATTTTATCGCATTTTATCATTAATAAGTAAAAATTGTTTTTTTTTTTAATAAGACCCGAGCCACACATGTTGGCCACCCCTGCACTATATTCATATTGTCACAACGTTCGAGCGAGAAGATTTGAGGAGGTTAAGATGACATATTTTTAGTTGAACTTTTGGGCAACATTTYTGTCTAATACCCGCGCATGGTTATAATATAATATGTTGGTGATTTCAATACGCAGTAGATTTATGTATTATTAACTTGAAAACTTTTAGTGCTTAATTTTTTTAGAAATAAAACTGACAATTTTTTCAACTGACATTTATCACGTTAATAATATTATGTATCATGTTTTACGTTACAACGTCTTATAATTATTTACAGAGGGTCAGTTGTTCGGTGGCATAGTTTTCAAAAGACCAAACATCGACCGAATGCCTTGGYCGCCGGACAAATGGTCGGGTCGCTCACGGTTGGCCAGCTGTTAGTGTTGCGGAAGTTCGCTCTTCTGAAGCTGACCGCCATCATGGAACGGTATTGTCCGACACACCGGACCGGATGGAACTGGGAACTGCCAAAGTTTATGCGCAAAACCAAAATGCCCGATCCCAAAGGTACGTACGCCACACAGGCGATGGTATAACTGTAACACACAACGAAACGAAACATGCGTAAAATTTCGTACATATACGAATTTAATATTATTATTATTATTATTATTATTGTCTATTTAGATAATATTTATCATTTTATTTTTTTATTATTATTATTACTATTTTGATCATTACTCTTAAAAAATTGTTATTCGTTTCAGACAAGACYGTTTTCGGCGTTCCGCTGATCGCCAACGTTCAAAAATACGGTTCGGCACTACCACCGTTCGTCCAGTCCGCTTTTCGGTGGCTCGAAGACAACGCTCTCGACCACGTGGGGTTGTTCCGGAAGCCCGGCGTCAAATCCCGAATACAGCGCCTAAAGCAACTGGCCGAAGCCGACCCGAAAGACGTGAAGTT